TACAAAATATCTTCATGGAACGTGATCTTTACTTAATATCCTAATGATTTTTTGGCATCGATAAATCGATCATTTTGACCCATACAATGTATTGTTGGCTATTGCTACAAATATATCCGTGCTACTTATGACTGGTTTTGTGGTCAAGGGTCGCATATAGAACATACTTTTTTTTAACGCTTGTGAAGTAAGGTCAAATTCAAATGTAGTATCTACTCAGACAGTACGCGATTTCTGACACACCAATGTTTGTTTTTTGTTTGTTTGTGTGTACAAATCAAAAGCCACAAAAAGTGAGTTCAGAACTCACTGAACTGAGTTCTCTTTCGCATCTCATCACGGTTTCATTTGTGCTATTTGCTATTCATTTGTTTGTTTGTTCTTAGTTTTTACTTGTATTTAAAAATGTTTTAACATTCTATTAGTTGCGCTAGCAGGAATAGAGAATATTGAAATAGACAACTGTGAAGTTTTACAGGTATCTAAAATTTTGGTGATCTTATTAATTAGAATACAAGATTACATGGGTTACAAACAATGAAAACAATAACAGTTATTTATTATTTTTTGACAGGGCCAGTGAAAATTTTAGCAGGGCAAGTAAAATTCTGGGCCAACTGAAATAAAACTTTTTCTTTATAATAAGATGCATTCATATTTAGCCATGGTGAATGATATTGAAATGGCAATTATCAAAAGTACGTTTTGTAATGTTTTGTTAATAACCACAGTATTTTAGTGGCAACTATTACAACCCTTACGAAAATTAACCATGGTTTTATTGTAGTAAAAGTGTAGTAACCATGTTTTTCGTGCATGATATTTATCGTGCAGCCCTAATTTGTATAGCCACCGTTTTATTAGAAATACCATGGTTAAACTTCGGCTAGTGTAGTGTGTTTTTTTGGTTTTATTTGTTGTGAAACCATGGTTAATTTTCGTAGGGCCAAAATAACTACCAGAGTTGTGAGAGAAACCCGAGTAAACGTTATACAGCTGTAAATTAGCTGTAAATAATAATCATTTGTTTTACCAGTCTAACTAGTCGGTTTATGAACTGTATTGCAGGTTTGTATAATATTCTGAGTTTGCATTTGACTGTTTTTATTCATTTTGAGCAATACTGAATCTAGAACTACAGTAACATCATGTTCACACACAATGCCTCTGCACTTACTCCTGATTTCTCTCAACATGGCAACAAGAGAGCTGTCAGTCAAGACATGGGAAACAAAGTAACCGGCGTTACTTATTGGACAAAGTAACTTAGATATTTCCTTCTAAACGTAGTTCGTTGCTTTACTAGTTACTTAAAAAAGTAATCGGATTATGTAATGCGCGTTACTTGTAATGCGTTACCCCCAACACTGCACATTAACATGGTAAGTTTCCATACCAAAAAGAAAATTATTATAAAACAGTAGCTTGAACACTCTTATAAACAGCAACTGCCAGAGTTAAAATAATCGTTTAGTTAAAATAAACGTATTTCTCCGAACGAAAGCATTTCAGCCAAAATAACACAGTAACAATATATTAAAATAACGTTAGTATGTTTTTGTAGGGATGAGACTTAATGCATTAGATAAAAACATTAAAACACATTCTCTAGCACATCTTTACTTGTTTTGATAGCATGCATACTGCACACTACAGGTAAACAGTAATTAATACATGAATAATAGTGCCTAGTAAAGGCATGGTGCTCGTATGGCTAGTAGGGCAAGAGTCAAATTCAAATGTAGTATCTACTCAGACAGTACGCGATTTCTGACACACCAATGTTTGTTTTTTGTTTGTTTGTGTGTACAAATCAAAAGCCACAAAAAGTGAGTTCAGAACTCACTGAACTGAGTTCTCTTTCGCATCTCATCACGGTTTCATTTGTGCTATTTGCTATTCATTTGTTTGTTTGTTCTTAGTTTTTACTTGTATTTAAAAATGTTTTAACATTCTATTAGTTGCGCTAGCAGGAATAGAGAATATTGAAATAGACAACTGTGAAGTTTTACAGGTATCTAAAATTTTGGTGATCTTATTAATTAGAATACAAGATTACATGGGTTACAAACAATGAAAACAATAACAGTTATTTATTATTTTTTGACAGGGCCAGTGAAAATTTTAGCAGGGCAAGTAAAATTCTGGGCCAACTGAAATAAAACTTTTTCTTTATAATAAGATGCATTCATATTTAGCCATGGTGAATGATATTGAAATGGCAATTATCAAAAGTACGTTTTGTAATGTTTTGTTAATAACCACAGTATTTTAGTGGCAACTATTACAACCCTTACGAAAATTAACCATGGTTTTATTGTAGTAAAAGTGTAGTAACCATGTTTTTTGTGCATGATATTTATCGTGCAGCCCTAATTTGTATAACCACAGTTTTATTAGAAATACCATGGTTAAACTTCGGCTAGTGTAGTGTGTTTTTTTGGTTTTATTTGTTGTGAAACCATGGTTAATTTTCGTAGGGCCAAAATAACTACCAGAGTTGTGAGAGAAACCCGAGTAAACGTTATACAGCTGTAAATTAGCTGTAAATAATAATCATTTGTTTTACCAGTCTAACTAGTCGGTTTATGAACTGTGTGGTCGTGCCGCGTCTGCCTCTTGTCTGTCGCGCTCGTTCACGAGCTGTCTCGTCAGCTGGATCTGCTCCTCGAGTGCACGCAGGTTCTCGCGCTTCCGCTCCACGCGCTCCAGATCCCGCAGAACTCCGTCACGCAGCCTCTGCAAATGTGACAGATGTGTTAACATCTAAACACTCCACATTTTATACTATTTAGATGTGGCATTTGAAGTAATAACCAAAGGTATAGCTTCTCTGTTGGGGAAACGCCAAATTCGGTAAAAATATAGACTATTGCATGTACAGGTAAGCAGATGAACATATTTAAATATTGCAGGTTTGTATAATATTCTGAGTTTGCATTTGACTGTTTTTATTCATTTTGAGCAATACTGAATCTAGAACTACAGTAACATCATGTTCACACACAATGCCTCTGCACTTACTCCTGATTTCTCTCAACATGGCAACAAGAGAGCTGTCAGTCAAGACATGGGAAACAAAGTAACTGGCGTTACTTATTGGACAAAGTAACTCAGATATTTCCTTCTAAATTAAAACGTAGTTCGTTGCTTTACTAGTTAGTTAAAAAAGTAATCGGATTATGTAATGCGACTTGTAATGATTTCCTTCTAAATTAAAACGTAGTTCGTTGCTTTACTAGTTACTTAAAAAAGTAATCGGATTATGTAATGCGCGTTACTTGTAATGCGTTACCCCCAACACTGCACATTAACATGGTAAGTTTCCATACCAAAAAGAAAATTATTATAAAACAGTAGCTTGAACACTCTTATAAACAGCAACTGCCAGAGTTAAAATAATCGTTTAGTTAAAATAAACGTATTTCTCCGAACGAAAGCATTTCAGCCAAAATAACACAGTAACAATATATTAAAATAACGTTAGTATGTTTTTGTAGGGATGAGACTTAATGCATTAGATAAAAACATTAAAACACATTCTCTAGCACATCTTTACTTGTTTTGATAGCAAGCATACTGCACACTACAGGTAAACAGTAATTAATACATGAATAATAGTGCCTCGTAAAGGCATGGTGCTCGTATGGCTAGTAGGGCAAGAGTGTTTTTTTACCAGCCTGTCCCAGTTCTGCTTGATATGAACGCCTGCAATGGTGCTGATACTGAGCACTATCGATAATCCCAGGACAACCTTAGAGGCCTTAGACATAGTTATTGAGCATTACTGGAACATTTTAGTGCAGCAGGATGATAGATGGCTAGGGCACTTTGAAAACAGAATGGAGTAGATTCTTTTGTGGTGATTTCAGTAGGCTGTCGGGCATTTTTACTGCCGCCTACCGGTCAGGAGCGGCGGCGTAGAGAGCAGATTACTGCGCATGCGCAGTGCTCACATAAAATCAGCTGCGATTTTTAATATTTCGTGTTTTATTACTTGATCGGACTGCCACACGTTAAGATATTTTGCACAGACATGAATTGAAAAATGTATCACTTTGATTTTCAATGCATAGTATATTCCAACCCAAACATGTTTTCGGATATAAAAATGGTTATTTTGTGTGCGTGTGTGAAAAACACCCTTAACTCTTTGCGTTCTAATCAAATAATGACCCTTATGACCGGTTTTGTGGTCCAGGGTCACAAATATGGTAGTGTAGGCCTACTATTCCGAGCATAACTGCTGATTCCAGTCACTGAAAAAATTGCTTATCTTTAGTACTTCGAATATAGTCCAGCATGGTTTTATCAACTCGAAGGTTCCATGTCTGGTGTAAAGACCGATTATTGATCTGTCAAAAAAAAATCAATACGGCAATTGCTTTAAAGCAAACACTTTAAAGCAAATATGTTGTTTTGTTAAATAACATCTTTGCTTCCTCAGTAAGTCTTTTTATTTTTCATTTCCTCTCTTCCTCTTGCCTCAAGTCTGAATCCACATGTTAAGAGTTATAATGTATTCCGCTCATCATCCTGTGCCTCCTTGATCTCCTGCAGAAGTGTGTTGGACTCCTCAGTGGAGGACACAATGTACTGGACAAAACTACATCTGAAGCACAGTGTGTGTGTGTGTCTATCTCTGAGTGACAGCTTACACAAGGAGCAAGTTATGAATGTTTTTTTCTGTTCATATATACAGTATACATATATATATATATATATGTGTGTGTGTGTGTGTGTGTAGAATTAAAACTGAATTAAATTCAGCTGTGTATTTTTTAAAATTCAATTCCAACGTGTATTTTTTTTTCAGTATGAATCCCCCATGAACATGTTATCATGCACATGCAATTTTCAGAGATAATAGAAATAATCAATGTTTGAAATATCAACTATGGATTTATATTTGATCATTTTTAATTAATTTTATAGATAATGCATTGATCTTTGGTGTAGGATTTACTTTGAAACAAATTTTACGTAGAAATTGCTAGAAAATGTCACAAATTATTACAAAAAATGACAAGTAACATTGAATTAAATATGATTTTTTAAAAATTGTATAAATAGTATTTTCTTGTAAAATGTACTCATTTTATCTACAACATCAAAAATAATTTTATAGTGTGGTGAAAACTTTTCAGAATGTTCAATTTACCCTTTAAAATGCACTTCAAAACATAGTTCAAACCATTCAAATTTTTCTAATTTAATTAAAAAAAACTTTAAAAACTTTTATCTGAAAACAATGTTGATGTTCTGTACAATTAAAATCTGGTATGATGGCTGTGTTTATAGTTTTGACATTAACAGTAATTTTTATGCAAACCCACTTTAAAGAAACAAAACAAAACAAAAAAATAGGCATATTTAGTCAAAATTCTTTATGTAATTCTTTATGTTTTGTTAATTAAGTTCTCCTGTAGTGTGATTGTTTTGAATTTCCTTCATGCATGGCATGTTTTTACCCGACCCTGCATAACCCACAATGCAACCGTCATTATGGTCAATTGTTTTACTGTGGAAAATATCTATATGTCTGCGTGATCGTCGGAGTCGGAGTCAGAAGGATGAACATGCACATCTGGTGTGTGGAGTAGCTCAGCTGCATGTCCTGTGGGGTTGCCATAACGGTTTGTTTGATGGAACACCCCTCGTCAATGACGCTAAAGCAAACATCCAGCGTACTCCACCCCCTCACCTCCACGGCTCTGTAATTGTACTTACCGCTGCTGGCAGATGTGGTTGTTCCCAAAGACCATAAGCCACTGGGACTCAAACAGGGAATTTGGAGCCTAAGCAAATATGTTACCTCAACATTTTCAATTTGCAAGTGTTGGCGGTGAATATAGGGAATCTTATCTCTGAAATGCTGTCGTTGTGTGTATTGGCACGTATTGGTATTTTGGTGTATTGAGTGGCTCTTGAGTCCATTTTTCATTTTTTTCGATCTGTTTTATGCCGTTTTGATGTACCGTCTCATCAACACACCTTAAAAGTAGACTTATCAGCTGGGTGCTACTTAGAAATGGATGTCTCAGTACTAAGTAAACAGATTCCCTGGCTGTTTGTTGATCTGTAGACCATCCTTTTCTTCATCAGGTCTGGAAATGATGCGTGAACTGCCTCCCACCTGATGAGCTACGATGCTTTACCTTGCCTCGCATTAAATAATTTCTGAGAAAAAGAAACATTCTGTGTTAGTGTGAGTGGGTGGATGTGTACAATGTTAACAGTGTTTTAGACGAATCTTCAAAAGTTCCATGACCTTTGGAGCAAAGCTTTGGGGGAACATGGACTGATGCAAGGTTTTAATGAAAGTTGATTGAATAAAACCTCTCGAATTTTCTTTTTAGAAGAGATTACATCATCATGTACATCATTTGGTGTAATCAACTACATATTCATGTGTATAGATGCAGTACACACAAAGTAAAATACACTAAAAATCACTGTAACATATTACTGGAGTACTATTTTACCAGAAAAAAAAAACTATTTTTGTCTTTCTACTTTAATTCAATGTGTTATTTCAAAGTGCTGTTTCTTTGTAATTAGTTGTGAAATGTATTAGCAATTTCCGACCACTTTTTTCAGTAGCCAGTTTGCACTTCAGATTAAGGTCATACTCACACTTGCTATACTATATTTCTCATAATTGTGAAATTTTTGTCTCTCAATGTCACTGTAGTTCTCTGATTTTTTCATCTGGAAATCTGACTTTGTTTCTCACTATTTTGGTTATATTTCTATATATAGTTTTTATTTTTATATATTTTTGCAGTGCGACTATATCTTGCAACTGCATATTTATCTCAAAACAACTACATCTTTTTTTTCCTCATAATTGCAACTTTATTTCTCACAGTGAGACTTTATATCTTGCAGTTGCGACTTTGTTTCTAGTAATTGTGACTTTGTACCTTACCACATGACTTTTTATCTTGCAACTGCAAATACTTCTCAAATTGCAACATTTTATTTTATATTCGAAAAATGGACTTTTCTCTGATTTATTCTGATTTGCCTAATTTATTCTTTGTTTTGTCATTCGTATTGTCACGTAATTTTGACTTTCTGCTAATTTATGGTGCTGTCAAATGATTAATCGTGATTAATTGCATACAAAATAAAAGTTTTTGTTTGCTTAATATATGTATGTGTACTGTGTATATTTATTATAAATACACAAATGCATGTATATATTTCAGAAAAATATGTTATGTTTATATATTAAATATATTTATTTATAATATAAATTATATGCATATAAATATAGACATGTAAATACATGTAAATATTTTCAAAATATATACTGTATGTGTGTGTATTTATATACATAATAAATATCAACACACACATATATTATGCAAACAAAAACTTTTATTTCGGATGCGATTAATCGTTTGACAGCACTACTAAT